AAGTATTTTAAACTGTATAAAAAAAATTGAAATCAATTGTGAAAATCCATTCCTTATATAGGACGTTCTCTCCTGTTTGGATTAATTGCCTAATTTCGACTAGAATTATTTTACCGATCAATCAAGATTAAAGATTGTTACATCATAATAAATAATTGAATTGTTAAAAGAGAAAAAAATATAAAGATTTATTTAATTATTACTTTTCTCTTTCATCATTCAATGAGCCAAACTCACTTTCTTTATCTTCAGGATTTGCATCAAGATGTTTTCCATTGCAGTCAAATTTCCTGAAAATGCTCGATTCAATCTATTTGTTCAGTAAATTTGGTTTATCTAGATTATTTTTATTATTATAATTGTAGTTGTTAACAATACCTTTTGGCTATTTTCACTAATCTTTGATAAACTCCTTTTACTTGATTATGAAATTTTTTAATATAATTATTATTAAGATCTTTGGATTAAACATTCCACGAAACTGCATTGGTGAAACCTGCAAAAAAACTGAGAACATTGTCCATTTTAATAAATAGTAAAGCTTTTGCATCACTGTTTCATTATTGACAAAGCTTTGCATCACAAGTAGTACTAGATCAGGATTTGAGGATCTGGAAATTAATTTGACGTAAATATAAACTTTGCATGTCCTCCCTCCCTAATATAGTCTTCCAAGTTTTTTCATCACTTACCAATTGTTTAATTTATTATTTCACGTAATATTAGTGTATTTTAAAGTAGTTTTCAAATTGAGGGATTAAAAATTTTCTGGTTTATTATCAGCAAACCTATAAGCTTTCCAATAGTTGGTCTTTTTGATATATTGGTGGTCGTAAGCTTTCACATATATCTAAGACAATAAACAATAATTATGAACTCTATCATCAAATGATGGATGTCCTGCAAATATTTCCCAAATCAACATCCCAATATCTATTTCTTTTGTGTTCTTTGTATTAATTCTGTCTTTAATACTAAGCTAAGGAAAGACAGTACATTTTCAATATGTTTTCTGTAGAGGTTGGAATCGTCCAAAAAAATCCTTAGTCAACTAAATTTTTTTTTAATATATAGTAAAAATATTTCTTTTTTTTTTTATTTGCAAATTACAAGTTCGTTTCCATTTGAATCTTTCATTTTTTCCACACAAAACCATGTGTTACAATTCGTTTTTTAAAAGGTCTTCTGGAACAACCACTTAAATCATTGGAACTTGAAGCCAATGAACTAATGGACCTTGTATCGGAAGTGTTTATTAGTTCACATGTAAAATTATCATCAACAACGCACTACTATTGTCGTCATCTTCATATTGTTGGTATTGATACTCTTCCGCATAGAAAGTTTTCCATTTTGAATGATAAAACACAAAAATCTTAATTGGTCAGACAATAATAATATTAACATAGTATTAATATTAGCATTAGTATTAGCATTACAGTCGGACCTCGTTATAACGGATTTTTGTTATACCGAACAAAATCTTTTCCCGAATTTTTTTTATTAAATAAAAAATTTTGTTATAACGAATTTATATGATAAACCTCGTTATTCCGTATAACGAACATTTATTAAAAATTTTTATATATTACTAGTCGCGTTATACCGAATTTTTTGATGAATACAGATCGTCTATACTAAAAATGTTCAAGTTGTATTTTTACAATACATTCATTGTTTGAAGACTGCATTATCATTCGATCTTTTTTCAACTATTTTTTATTTTTTTTTACAAAGGATACATTTGTTTGTATTTTTACTTGATCTTTTTGTTTTCCTTTTATTATTACAAGACATTCATCTGCAATTGCTCATTCGCCATATTTTATTTTATAGCTTCTATCCAAGATACTCTTTAAAGGTTTCAAATTATAACAATAATTAATAAAATAAAATTATTAAACAGTTAATAGAAATGTGGATGTTGCTTTTAACAATTATTTATTAAACACTTTGTCAAGTAAATAAATGCCATTGATTTAATTGACAAAAATAGAGAAATGGAAAAAGAAATCTAAAAGTAAAAAAAAATCCATATTGTGTTTTTCTTTGAAGTGAATGGTTAGTTTATTTTAAAAACGTCAAATTGTTTTTCATCAATATTGAAGTTTGAGAATATAAATAAAGCTTAAATTTTTGTCATGAAATTTAAATTTTCTTATTGAAATAAAATCCCGTCTGTCTGTACACAAATCAAAATTATAATAATAATAAAAATAATAAAATCCCGTCTGTCTGTACGCGAAACAAATTATAAAAATAAAAATCCCGTCTGTCTGTACGCGAAACAAATTATAATAATAAAAATCCCGTCTGTCTGTACACGAAACAAATTATAATAATAAAAATCCTGTCTGTCCATACATGAAATAAATTTAATAATAAAATAAAATCAAACATTTTTTTAATAAAAGTTCATAAAAAAATTTCTAATGTCTCAACAAGGACAAAAAAAAAGCATCCACCTTACTGCTGTACAAAAATTTGAAATTTGTTCAATAAAACAAAGAGAACTGAACAAAAAAAATGTTGATTTGGCTAGAGAATTTGGAATCAGTACAGGACAAGTTAGTGATATCTTAAGAAGTTCTGACAAATGGCTTCATGTTGATCCAAATTCATATCAAGCAACATTAAAAAAATTACATCCCTCATCTTTAATAAATATTGAAGAGGCATTATTCTTGTGGATTGAAAAAGCTCTTGAATGTAATTTGACAATCACAGGCGCCATAATTCAACAAAAGGCCCTAGATTTTGCTGATTTGTTAAATCATCATAACTTTAAAGCATCTCAAGGGCGGCTTGAAAATTTTAAGCATAGATTCTCAATTCAAGCATTTAATAAACATGGAGAAGCCCAAAGTGCTCCAATAAGTGAGATTCCACAGATGAGAATAAATTTAAGAGAAGTCCTTCAACAGTATAGGCAGGAGGATGTCTTCAACTGTGATGAAACTGGTTTGTTCTGGAAAATGGAACTTAATCATGGTCTATCAACTGGACCACTTCCAGGAACCAAAAAAAATAAGGATAGAGTTACAGTTCTTTTAACATGTAACTCAACTGGCACAGAAAAATTAATCCCCTTATTTATACACAAGCACCAAAACCCAAGACCATTGAGAAGAATAAATAAAAACTCATTACCAGTAGATTATTATTGGAATAACACAGCTTGGATGCAAGTCTCTATATGGAACAATTATCTCAAAAAATTAAATAAAAAAATGCAAGATGAAAATAGGAATATTATATTATTAGTTGATAATGCTCCAACACATACCTTAACAGAGGGTGTCACTTTCCCAAACATAACAATTCATTATTTACCACCAAATACCACAGCACATTTACAACCATGTGATGCAGGCATCATTCATAGTTTCAAAGCTCATTATAAAAGGCTATTTTTGAAAAAAAGAATAAATAATTTTGATGAAGAATAGTCTGGCATAGAACCCGATCCAATTAATATTTATCATGTAGTTAAGATGGTTGCAAGAGCTTGGGATTTTGTTACACCAGAAATTATTTCTAATTGTTGGAAAAAAACTGGAATTCTTCCAGAAGAAAATGATTTATATCATATAGAAATAGAACAAGCCAACAATTTAGTAAATAAAATTCTTCAAGAAGAAGAAAATGCTGTTCAAAATTTAATTAATAATTTACCAATTAATTCACCTCTAACAGCAACAGAATTCATTTCAATAGATGATGCAGATGTAAGTGTTGAAATGGTAACTGATGAACAAATAATCTTATCACTTACTCCAGCTGAGGAAGAAATTGAAGAAAACGTTCCAACATTACCTTGTATTTCAATCAAGGATGCTGTTACTGCTTTTGAAACTGCTCATAAATTTTTTGAGCAAGGTAATGATGGTTTAGAATTAGATTATAATGAACTCAAAGTTTTTCGTGCATTAAAGAAAAAATTAATTTGTATAATTTTAAAAGTTTTAACCAAGGAAAAGTAACTTCTTATTTTATCAAACAATAGTGCCATGCCATATCACATTTGACTTCTTTAATATTATTTTATCAGTTATAATATTATTAATATTATTATTATGTTGTACAATTTTATTATTATTATCGTTAAAAAAATATATTAATTAAATAAAAAAAGTTAAAAGTATCACGTGCTGATCATCAATTACCTTGGTTACCGAGTACCTCGTTATAACGGATCATTGAGGCCAAACCAGTGTGTTCGTTATAACGAGGTTCGACTGTAGTAGTATTAGTAGTCGATTATTAGTTGCTCAAAAAAAAGTTTAGTCGACTATTTTAGTCGATTCCAACCTCTAGTTTTCTGCAAAGGATATTTTATATGGCATATATATAAATATAATGCACCATCAAAGATTGTAATTCTGTCTTTTTAATGTTAAATTAGAATATTTCTTTATAAAAACTTCACTGATAAATAATTTAAAACCATTATTACATAATACAG